AATGCCGCCATATTTGACTCCTCTTTGGGTTTATTGCGTGGCAATGGAAAGGCCAAATCCACACCATCAAATTCATATAATTTCAATATTTCCATTGTCCGTTCAATGAATTTTCCTCGTCGATGGTTATCCTCTTCCAGTAAATGCAAATATTTTAATGAATCCTGGTTATCTTTGGCATCACCATCACCACCAATGCTGAGGTAGATTTTCAGCTGAGGATAGGCTTTCTTCAACAATTTCGGTTCGTAGACTAATTGATGTTGTGGGGGAAAACGAATGTCATAGGTCTTGGGAACCAAATGAGCCGAAGCGTACACCAAATGAGTGCAGTGGGCAGCACCCTTTTTCAAATGCTTAAAGGTGAAATTTGAGAATCCTGGAAAGGATATTTGTTGAAAAAAGTGCATTCGAATTGAATATATTTAAAACATACCATATCGATGAGAACTTTCTACCTCATAATAGCAAACCAAGTTTTTGTTCGAAGTTGTTGCAGCACTTGTAATTTGTAACAAGTACAAAAATATTTCCAGTGTGATTAATAGTTTTATCATCGCGTCAGTATCTAATACGTATCGTCGAAGAAACCGATTACGACTGATGGATAATATAAAATTTGCAGAATACATTTTAATCTTTATTGACCACAGAAAATTAGTCATGAAGCGATGAGGGTAATATATATTTTTATAACCAATGAATAATGAACAATATTCATAAAAATGTTTAAAAAATATTTTTTGTAGAGATCCAACCACACACGGCCTGGATTTTTTATTGAATATTTTTTTAATAATATTTTTTCAAGAGCTACTCAAGGCGTGGGTTTTTAATGAATATTTTTGCAGTAATATTTTTTCAAGATCTACTCAAGGCGTGAATTTTTTAATGAATATATTTTCAATAATATTTTTTTAAGAGCTACTTAAATCGTGAGGGTGGCGTAGGTGATGATAGATACCAAGCAAAGGCTCTGATTGGCTTTAACAAGGCGTAGTTTCTTGGTCCCTCTTTCATCTCAACTGTGGACACTGACCTCCCCGTGGTGCCACCTGGGGTAGCTATTTTCATCAGCCGATGAAATAGTGAGGTAATATGTGCCGCGAGTTCACCCATAAAAACTATAAAAAACCAGTAAGGAAAGTAGTAAAGTCGGACGGGGCCGACTATATGATACCCTTCACCACTATGGGTATATTAAACAGTACTATTAACATGAAATATATATGGGAGCTATATAGACCGATTTTCTCGAAACTTGGCAGACATCACTCTAGGCTCAATTCAGTACGTTATGCCAAATTTCGTGCAAATCGAAGGATATATAGGGACTTTGGTGCACCATTTATATGAAACCGGACGAAACTATATATGATTTTCACGAAACTTAGCAAATTGCCAAATTTCGTGCAAATCGAAAGATATATAAGTACTTTGTGGCACCATTTACATGAAATCGGACGAAACTATATATGGGAGCTATATCTAAATCTGAACCGATTTTCTCAAAACTTGGCAGACATCACTCTAGGCTTAATTCAAAATGGCTTAATATGCCAAATTTCGTGCAAATCGAAAGATATATAGGGACTTTGGGGCACCATTTACATGAAATCGGACGAATGGGAGCTATATCTATATATGGGAGCTATATCTAAATCTGAACCGATTTTCTCAAAACTTGACAGACATCACTCTAGGCTTAATTCAGTACGATATGCCAAATTTCGTGCAAATCGAAAGATATATTGGGACTTTGGGGCACCATTTACATGAAATCGGACGAAACTATATATGGGAGCTATATCTAAATCTGGACCGATTTTCACGAAACTTGGCAGACATCATTCTAGACCTAAATGATTAGGCTGTACCAAATTTCGTGCAAATCGAAAGATATATGTGGACTTTGGTGCACCATTTACATGAAATCGGACGAAACTATATATGGGAGCTATATCTAAATCTGGACCGATTTTCATGAAACTTGGCAGACATCATTCTAGACGTAAATGATTAGGCTGTACCAAATTTCGTGCAAATCGAAAGATATATAGGGACCGTTTACATTAAATCGGTTAAATATATATATGGGAGCTATATCTAAATCTGAACCGATTTTTCCCAATTTCAATAGGGTTCGTCCTTAGGCCGAATAAGTGACCTATGCCAAATTTCATCCAATTCGGATCATAAATGCGACCTGTACTTTGTTTACAATTTAACATGGACAGACAGACGGACAGACGGACAGACGGACAGACGGACGGACGGACGGACGGACATGCATAAATCGACTTAAAAAGTGATTCTATGCATATTCTCAAAAGGAACCATGTGTCTATCTCGTTTCCTTTTGCCTGTTACAAACATATGCACAAAGACATAATACCCTGTACCACAGTGTGGTGAAGGGTATAATGAGTTGAGGCGTCGGGTTAGTTGCCCACACTTGGAAAAACCAACCTACTATAAAAAAGCAAAGAAAAAGAAAACCAAACCCACCTAATGTTGACGAACCCCGCAAATGGAATGTGCGCACGTTGTACAGAACAGGCACAGTGTCCGCTTTGGCGGATGTACTCAAGAAGTACAAAGCCGACATTATTGCCTTACAGGAAATGCGATGGAAAGGGACTGGCGTAAGTAAATCAGATGATTACGCCCAGTATTATAGCTGGTGAACAGGATCATAAAAGGCCTCGTCTCCAGATTCACTCCAGTAGAGGAGCGAATCCGTATAAAAGCGAAGTTCTTCTACATCATGCTGGGAGCTTTTAGTGTCGTAATAATACTGATCTGAAAAACGTAGCGTATAGGGCAACCCTTCAGACAGTAGCAACACGTCATGTGATGGAGAACTATCGGGAGAAAAGGAGAGAGGAGAAACGTATTTTCAGAAAAAAGAAGAAAGAGCAAGAAAAACGTGAGCGTGAGCAAATCGAGATGTGCAGGAATCAGAATGAAGTCCGAAAATTTTACCAACGAGTAAAACATCAAGCCGAAAGTTTTGGTGCAGGCACATCCTCCTGTAGAGATGAAGAAGGAAATCTGGTGACAGATACAGACAGCGTGTTGAGGATCTGGAAGGAACATTTTAAAAGGCTTCTGGTATCAAATAGTGGCGGTGAAGAAGATACCCCAGAACCAATAAGCGATGATGGGCAAATCAACCATTGACCAGATTTTCACTCTGCGCCAAATCCTGGAAAAGACCCACGAAAAACACATTGACACATACCACCTATTCGCCAATTATAAAGCCGCATTCGACAGCCCTATCCGTTCAGAAGTGTTTAAAGCCATGTCTACGTTCAGCATTCCTGCAAAATTAATACGGCTATGCAGGATAACTTTAAGTGGCACAAGGTCAGCAGTTAAAGTCGGAAAGGACCTCTCGGAGCCCGAAAGAGGATTCAGACAAGGTGACAGTTTGTCGTGTGATCTTTTCAACATCCTGCTGGAAAAGGTCATACGAGAAGCAAGGGTGAACAGAAATGACACTCCGTACACCAAACAACACATGTTACTCGTCAACGCCGATGACATCGACATGATGGGTCGAACATTTGAGAGCAGTAACAGCCACCTTTGAACAAATTGAGAATGATTCTGCCAAAGTGGGTCTGGCAGTAAACGGTGAGAAGACCAAGCTGATGACATCAATGCGCAAGACGTCCAGTAGAATCGGACCAACTATGGAACTTAAGAACTACAGCTTCGAGGTAGTCAAAGATTTTATATACCTTGGTACCGCCATAAACAAAACGAATGACATCAGTTTTGAAATTTGGAGAAGGATAGGGATGACCAACAGATGCTACTAGCAAACATCTCAAAAGCAAGGTCACCTCCCGCCAAACTCACACTCTACAAGACGCTGATACTACCCGTGCTGTTATATAGATCTCGAGCATGGGCACTTGAGGCAGCTCTTGGAGTGTTTGAGAGAAAACTTCTCCGAAGGATCTATTGGCCGATCTGCGTTGACGGTGAATATCGACGTCGTATGAACCATGAGTTGTACCAACTATTCTCGGACATCGACATTGTTAGACGTATTGAGCTGCATTGACTACGTTGGCTAGTTCATGTTGTTAGAATGGATGAAGATGACCCAGCCCAGAAGGCATATAAAAGCGAACCAGCTGATGGTTCACGCAGAAGGGAAAGGCCACGAATAAGATGGAAAGACCAAGTGGAAGACAACATTGCCGAATATCAAATTGGAAAAACTGCGCAAAAGACCGACGGGCCTGGAAATCTTTTTTAAGCTCGGCTTATGGAACGAAAGTTCTGTCACAGCTAGCTAAAAAATAGGTGCTTAAGTCGTGAATTTTTTTAGGATATTTTTCAATAATATTTTTTTCAAGAGCTACTTAAGACGTAGATTTTTTGAAGAATATTTTTTGAATGACCACCACAAGGCATGAATATTTTAAGAATATTTTTTCAATGACCCCCAAGAAAAAGAATATTTTTTGGAGAGAAATATCTATGTTTTCACATAACAACCAGACTCAGTCATTTTTTTCCAAAATCCTAACCTAGTAAATGTTCTTGCTTTCGGTTTAAATGAACCCCTTTTAAAAATGACAAAATAGCGCTATATTTCGTAATGACGTTTTCGAAATTTCTGTTTAAAAAAGCAACAACAACAACAACTACTTGATTACTCGTTTTCTATTGCGGAAAAAATTACTCAAAACAGATGATTTTTTTTAATATTTTTTATTTGTTTTGCAGTTTATTTTTATTTATTTATTGAGAAACAAGTGATAAGACCGAGATGATTGAGTCGGCCAACAAGGTTTTTTATTTTTATTCACCGTGTATGACTACAACTTGTGAGTGGCTGTTCAGTTTAAGCCAGACATTGCAAAAGATCACGTCGTTAAAAAAATACAAAAAAATAAGAACTGAGAGCTTCGAGAAAGACCTACAGAAAATGAAATTGTTGACAACAATTTTAGCGTTGCTAGCCCTGAGCCACAGCAATGGGGTTTGGGGGTAAAAATCACAAAAAAGGATTATTTGCTATTACAATGCCCAGAGTTCGTTGAGATCAGGTAGGACTTATGAAATTTTTCACACAAAAAAATCATTAATTTAATTTTTTTTCAAATTGTAGGTTTTGCTAAATTCCCCCTTGCCAGCCTCGAATATGGCCTGCAATTTTGCACTCATCTGATGTATGGCTATGCCGGCCTTACCCGTGAATCCTTCGAAATTGCCAGCCTCAACGTTGACCTGGATATGTTCCATTTCCGTCAAATAACAGAAATGAAGAAGACATTTCCCGATTTGAAAATCTTCCTTAGTCTTGGTGGTGACTACGATAACGATGAAGTGGATCCGCAGAAATATATTCATTTTCTAGAAGGTGGCAAACCGTTGTATGATAATTTCATTCGTAGTTCAGTGACCATGTTGAAAAATAATGGATTTGATGGTTTGGATTTGGCTTTTCAATTTCCACGCAACAAGCCGCGCAAGGTTCATGGCACCTTGGGAACATATTGGAAGAAATTTTAAAAATTATTTACGGGTAATTTTATTGTGGATCCCGATGCAGAGGTACACAAGGAACAATTTACGGAATTTGTGCGGGATCTGAAGGCGGGCTATGCAACGGCAAATTTGTCATTGGCTTTGACAGTGTTGCCAAATGTGAATTCTACATGTAAGTAACAACAACGAATATTTTTTTAGAGGCCATCGTAGGCGTGGATTTTTTAAAGAATATTTTTTTTAGAAGCCATCGTAGCCGTGGATTTTTTAAAGAATATTTTTTTAGAGGCCATCGTAGGCGTGGATTTTTTAAAGAATATTTTTTAGAGGCCATCGTAGGCGTGAATTTTTTAAAGAATATTTTTTAGAGGCCATCATAGGCGTGGATTTTTTAAAGAATATTTTTAAGAGGCCATAATAGGCGTGGATTTTTTAAAGAATATTTTTTAGAGGCCATCATAGGCGTGGATTTTTTAAAGAATATTTTTTAGAGGCCATCATAGGCGTGGATTTTTTAAAGAATATTTTTTAGAGGCCATCATAGGCGTGGATTTTTTAAAGAATATTTTTTAGAGGCCATCATAGGCGTGGATTTTTTAAAGAATATTTTTTCAGGCGTGGATTTTTTAAAAAATATTTTTTCAGGCATCCACACAAGGCGTGGATTTTTTAAAAAATATTTTTTCAGGCATCCACACAAGGCGTGGATTTTTTAAAAAATATTTTTTCAGGCATCCACACAAGGCGTTGATTTTTTAAAAAATATTTTTTCAGGCATCCACACAAGGCGTGGATTTTTTAAAAAATATTTTTTCAGGCATCCACACAAGGCGTGGATTTTTTAAAAAATATTTTTTCAGGCATCCACACAAGGCGTGGATTTTTTAAAAAATATTTTTTCAGGCATCCACACAAGGCGTGGATTTTTTAAAAAATATTTTTTCAGGCATCCACACAAGGCGTGGATTTTTTAAAAAATATTTTTTCAGGCATCCACACAAGGCGTGGATTTTTTAAAAAATATTTTTTCAGGCATCCACACAAGGCGTGGATTTTTTAAAAAATATTTTTTCAGGCATCCACACAAGGCGTGGATTTTTTAAAGAATATTTTTTCGTGGATTTTTTAAAAAATATTTTTTCAGGCATCCACACAAGGCGTGGATTTTTTAAAAAATATTTTTTCAGGCATCCACACAAGGCGTGGATTTTTTAAAAAAAATATTTTTTCAGGCATCCACACAAGGCGTGGATTTTTTAAAAAATATTTTTTCAGGCATCCACACAAGGCGTGGATTTTTTAAAAATATTTTTTCAGGCATCCACACAAGGCGTGGATTTTTTAAAAAATATTTTTTCAGGCATCCACACAAGGCGTGGATTTTTTAAAAAATATTTTTTCAGGCATCCACACAAGGCGTGGATTTTTTAAAAAATATTTTTTCAGGCATCCACACAAGGCGTGGATTTTTTAAAAAATATTTTTTCAGGCATCCACACAAGGCGTGGATTTTTTAAAAAATATTTTTTCAGGCATCCACACAAGGCGTGGATTTTTTAAAAAATATTTTTTCAGGCATCCACACAAGGCGTGGATTTTTTAAAAAATATTTTTTCAGGCATCCACACAAGGCGTGGATTTTTTAAAAAATATTTTTTCAGGCATCCACACAAGGCGTGGATTTTTTAAAAAATATTTTTTCAGGCATCCACACAAGGCGTGGATTTTTTAAAAAATATTTTTTCAGGCATCCACACAAGGCGTGGATTTTTTAAAAAATATTTTTTTAGGCATCCACACAAGGCGTGGATTTTTTAAAAAATATTTTTTCAGGCATCCACACAAGGCGTGGATTTTTTAAAAAATATTTTTTCAGGCATCCACACAAGGCGTGGATTTTTTAAAAAATATTTTTTCAGGCATCCAAGGCGGGGATTTGTTAAAGCATTTTTTTCAGTGAATATTATAGGCCTATATTTTTTAAGAATATTTTTTTATTATGTCTCTCTCTCTTTCTCTTCCAGGGTACTTTGATATTCCCAAGATACATAACCACTTCGAATATATCAATCTGTTCGCCTTTGACTTCCTTACACCAGATCGTAATCCCGAGGAGGCAGATTACACAGCACCCATCTTCTTGAAAGATGAACAGAATCGTTTGCCCCACTATAACGTTGATTTCCAAGTTAATTATTGGCTGACAAATGGTTGCCCGGCTAATAAACTTAACTTAGGTGTTGCCACCTACGGGCGTACATGGAAAATGACAACGGATTCACAGCTGTCGGGTATGCCAGTTGTACCGGCAACATATGGTCCTGCCGATGCTGGTGTTATGTCTGGTCGTGCTGGCCTGCTGAGTTGGCCTGAAATATGTGGCCTACTTAATAAGGCCAGTACGGCGGGTACATTCCGTGGAGCCAATGCTCCCCTGCAGAAAGTGGTCGATATCGATCGTAAATATGGCAATTATGCATTTCGTCCAGCCGATGAAAATAATGAACATGGTATTTGGATTAGTTTTGATGATCCAGATTTTGCTGGATACAAGGCAGATTATGCCCGGCAGAAGGGTATTGGCGGTATGGCTGTGTACGATTTGGGTTATGATGATTTCCGGGGATTGTGTACGGGTGCCAAATTCCCCATATTACGTTCTGTACAAAATGTTATTGATTAGAATAGTTTTTGTGTAATTTACATTTAGTGATTAGAAAAATAAATAAACAATTGTTGTTGTAGAGTAAAGTGAAAATATTTGAAATATATATTTGTTAAACCGTATAGCATGCTATTGACCTTTAAGTTGTTTCCAATAAAAATGTATATTCAAGATTATAGATTCAGGGTCATTTTCAAGATTAAATCGGGTAGTCTAGTGATAACATTATTAGTATGTAAGTGATGTGTGTATATACATATGTTGTTAAATTTCTTATTATTGTAATTTTAAAACATAATTCAATAATAAATAAAACAATATTAAATAATAAAATAATATTATTGATTCTTTATAACATGTTTAAATGCGTAGATTTTTTCAAACTATATTTTCAGGGTCATGCAAAGTGTACACTTGTTAAGGATATTTTTTCGAGGTCTAGATTTTTTTCGTAGTCGGAGATTTTTAAAAATAATATTTTTTTTTCGAGGCCTTGCAAGTAGATTTTTATACCCTTCACCACACTGTGGTACAGGTTATTATGTCTTTGTGCATATGGGAAATTACAAAATTCTTTTAAAATTCCATTAAAAAAATTTTGAAAATTTTTTTTGCGAGCACATTTATGATTTTTGGTACATAGGTTAAGAAAAATATGCTGATTCGAAATCTGTTCGCGTTCACAAATTCGGATGCTGCGCACAAAAGTTATAGCGGTTTTAAATCTTGTATTTCAAATATAAATTAAATGGATTCATATTCGTTGTAATTCGCGAATTTCTTCACAAATGCTTAAACACCATTGTTTTCTTTGCGTACTAGTCAAATCACACTGAAATACGGTTTAATAGTCGCGAAAAACAAATAGAAACATGAAGATATCGGAAAATAAAATAAATTAATTTTTGAATTAAAACAAAAATGTTTTTTGAATGTTCGATTTTTTAGTATGGTTTAGAGGATACGGGTTTGCCTTAATCTTCTAAAATATACGACGCTTTCTTCTGCAAATTCTTTTAGATGATTGTTAAATATCGGTAGATTCATCTGATAAGAGTTTTGACGTCATTAATGGCTAAATATATTGCACTTACAATACATAAAAATGATCAATATTGAAAAGCTTACAATTCGCGAATTAGTTGAAATCAGTTGATGCGCATACTATTTTCGTATAAACCGAATCAATGTCTTTCAATAATTATGAATTTTTCGATTTTTAATTTAGCGGTCAAAGTGTGCCACTCGATGCACTTTACTATGCAAAAACCCTAAAAATGGCTAAAAATCACGCAACGTGCATGCGATTTTTATGCGCATCAGATTTCAGTAATCTCCTATGAAAATACGCAAAAGGACACCTATTTTAAAAGGATCGGTTAAGAACCGCGGATGTGCCTCCACAATCAATTTTGGATAAAATACGCATATTATTCGCGTATCGATGTATTTTTGACATATTTCCACACAGATTCGCGAATTTGACAATACAAGCATAAATGCATGTAAAATTAATTCGAAGAAAACCGCGATTATTTACGCGAATTTGTCAAAATAAGTTTTTGCAGTTTTTCCCACATTCAAGGTACCTATATCCGCCGTTTTATTGGACGGAATTGAACATGGATGGGCTCATTAGGTCCGGCACGTAAAAACACTAAAATCACGCGGGGTTCCACGGAATTTGAAAGGACTTTCTTAATTTTAGGCTCAAAAAATATGTTTTTTATAAAAAATTACGCACCAAATTTTCGTCTTTGGAAACCAATTGCAAAGAAGCTACAATGAGCACATTCATGAGATATACACTAAACGAAGCAGAATCACGAGTTCTACAATCCTATAATTAGTTTATTCCATTATCTGGATGCGCATCCTAATTATAAGAAAAATTCAAAAAACACGGAAAATCAATTCGGCTTCAAAATGTCAGCATCCATTTTGGGTGGATGCAGTGATTATATCGAAAAATCATACATTAGAACCATATTGTCCATGGGGTATTCTGCAACTTAGTCACTGATCACATGTGCGTGCGTTGTGTAGTTTAGCCACAAATCGGGAACGAACACAAAAAAAACTCGTTGGCTTCAACACATTTTCACCCATTTTTTTACATTACCACCATCACAGCTTCCACGCAACTTATTATTTATTACCAATATTTTAAGATTTTGACAAGAATACTTCATTTTATAGATTTGAATTTAAATTATATGCAATATGTTCATATTTCGCGAGTTATAACCTTGCAAACCTCAGCTTCAAGGAATTTAAAAGATTTTTGTAATTTCCCATATGTTTGTAACAGGCAAAAGGAAACGATATAGACATATGGTTCCTTTTGACAATATGCATCTAATCACTTTTTGAGTCGATTTACGCATGTCCGTCCGTCCGACCATGTATTTTTGTGAACAACGTACAGGTCGAACTTATGATCCGATTTGGATGAAATTTGGCATAGGTCACTTATTTGGCCCAAGGACGAACCCTATTGAAATTGGGAAAAATCGGTTCCGATTTAGATATAGCTCCCATATATATTTTCGTCCGATTTAATGTAAATGGTGCACCAAAGTGCCTATATATCACTCGATTTGTACGAAATTTGACACATCGTAATGAATTAGGTCTAGAATGATGCGTCTTAAGTTTCCTGAAAATAGGTTCAGATTTAGATATAGCTAGAATGATGTGTTTTAAGTTTCGTTAAAATCGGTTAAGATTTAAATAAAACTCCCATATATATTTTAGTCCGATTTAAGGTAAATGGTGTACCAAAGTCCCTTAATATATTTCGATTTGTACGAAATGTGGCACAACGTAATGAATTAGGTCTAAAATGATGTGTGTTAAGTTTCCTGAAATTCGGTTCAGATTTAGATATAGCTAGAGTAATGTGTGTAAAGTATGGTGGTTATAGTGACTAAATTATAGAAAACCATGAATATTTCAGATGCCAATCAATTCATTTAAATATTTATATACAAATATAAAGCGCTGTTTTGTTTTTTTAAATTACTCATATTTGAAATACTATAAACTATTTTCAATATAATTTTTCATTCACAAGACATTCTCTAAATACATTGTTTTTTCAATTCGTGCTTATTTCTAATCCGAACAATTTTTCTTGAGATTAAGCTTTTTCAGCTAAACAATGACGCGATCTTCTCGACGTTTCTGGTTACTGCGTAGCGTCGCGACGACAGATACCGCCGCCACAACGTTGACACATAATTTGAATAGATATCGTGTGTTATCATTTTTGTGTGTTTGTTTTGTTTTAATTTTTTCTGATTTTGACGTGATATTTGTGTTTTTTTTTTTGTTGGCAACATCATACATCGAGTGTCTTGGGCAAACAAAAGCTTTGACTCGTTTATTTTTTTGAAAAAAGAGCGTTAATTTAAATACTGTTTTTTCGATTTTGTCTTGAAAAAAAAAAACCGTTTTGGCTTAAACCAGTAAGGAAAGTAGTAAAGTCGGACGGGGCCGACTATATGATACCCTTCACCACTTTGGGTATATTCAACAGATGAATCCTACCAGACGTTGAAGGATCATTAACATGAAAATGGATCCATAAACATGTCATTCTGCAACCTATACTAAATTTTTCATTTGGTCAGATATAGGGTTGCTTCTTAAAATGGGACAAAATTGTGTAAATCAATTTAAGGGAACCCCCCCCCCCCCCCCCCCATTCTCGATTTTTTATTTTTAAGATTTTAAATGGGCTGGTAAATGAATACCAATGCTTGTTAAGGTTTGTAACTTGGCACATATATATTTGAAGATTTAAAAAGGAAGAAAAATAATTTACTAAAATTTGTTGTTGTTGTTTTGTTGTTGTTTTTTTGGGTTCAAAGAAAAGTCCATATTTTCGATGGCGGGCATGATAACTCCTCACTGGAACATCGGAATCCGAAAATTCCAACTGTGTTAGAAAGAGGACATGTCTGGCTCTCGTATGAACTAGGATTATTGACGCACAACAATTAACAAAATGGCGGAACTTTGAAAATTTTTATATGGAAAATCGCCTATTTTTTTACCACAAACTAAGTTAAAAAATAAGGAAGATCTCCACCGATTGGCTTTATCCTAGTTCATACGAGAGCTACACACTCCCAGAGAAACGTGTCAAAATTTGAAACCGATTGGATTGTTAGTTTTTGAGTTATCGTGCCCGCCATTCGTTTTGAGAAAAACGCGTTTAAAGTTTGAGAAGCCCTTTAGCCGTCACTTAATGCTGACACAATAAATCGGCTATATCTTCAAGAGTTCTTGAGATTTTCACTTGAAATTTTGTAGGAACATTCTAGTATTAGAGTAGATTCGAATTAAATAAAAAAAAAAATTGACACCGAGAATGGGGGAGGTCCCCTTAAAGAATATATATAACATAGCTGAAGCGGAGGTTCACCCCTCGGGAATTACTTAAGTATATGAAGAAAAGTGAATAGTTTTGGGTTAATCGATCTGATATTGACCTCCAAATTTTATTTTGGTGGAAGCTGTGTCTACTTTAATGTAAAAAAATGTGTAAAAAGAGGTTAAAGGCGAACCAGTTTTTTTATGTTCTCTATCTAGAAGCCAACAAAATGGGGACTAGGCCCCTTATGTATCATTTTTCAAAATTTTAACTGCATCTACCTTTAAATGATGCTGACATTTTGAAGCTCGATTTTGAGTGTTTTTTGAATTTAATTCTAGCTTTAATACGCAAACAGGAATTTCTAAAAATCGATTATAAGATTATTGTAGTCGCGAATCTGAGTAATTTGATATATATTTTGTGTATGTAGTATGCACAGCTTCAGAGTAATACTCATCCGAAGGTGAAAATTTTGTGCGATCAAATTTCTAAAAAAAAAACTATTTTTCGGTTCAAATTTGTAGATCTGTCAACTGAATGAAAATCCATCATCATCGTGAAAATCCATCAATTAGAACGGCGGGAACTGACCTTCCAAAAACACGAAATTTGGAAAAAATGTTTTTGAAAATAT